GGCCACTGCACTCCAGTCTGGGTGACAGAGTGAGACTCCAACTCAAAAAAAACAAAAACAAACAAACAAACAAAAACCCACAGCTCAGATGGGCAACAATGTACTAATGTGTTTAAACTATCCCCAATTTTTAAATTTTTTTTATTATTGCTATTTTTTATTTATTTATTTATTTTTAGTTGGAATCTCACTTTGTTGCCCAGGCTGGAGTGCAGTGGCCACTCCCGGCCACTGCAGCCTCGACCTGCTGGGCTCCAGCGATCCTTCCACCTCAGCCTTCCAAGTAGCAGGAACTACGCGTGCTACCACACCTGGCTGATTTTTTGATTTATTTTAGAGATGAGGTCTCACCAAGTTGCCCAAGCAGGTCTCGAACCCGCGGGCTCAGGCAATTCACTCACCTCAGCCTCCCAAGGCGTGGGATTACAGGCTGAGCCACCGAGCCCAGCTGCTTTTTTTTTTTTTTTTTTTTGAGTCTGAGTCTCACTCTGTCGCCCAGGTTGAAGTGCCGTGATTCACTCACAGCCACCCCAGCATCAACCTGTTGGGCTCTGGCAATCCTTCGCCTCAGCCTTCCAAATAGCTGCAACTATAAGCGCGTGCTACCACACCTGGCTAATTTTTTATTTATTGTAGAGATGAGGTCTCGCCAAGTTGCCTAGCGGGTCTCAAACCCACGGGCTCAGGCAATTCACTCACCTCAGCCTCCCAAGACGCGGGATTACAGGCTGAGCCACCGAGCCCGGCCCATCCCCAATTTTTAAAGGAGAAAGGAGGGCGTGTATAAATAATGTCTAATTTCTTGTGCTTCCAACATGAGCAAAGTACAGTGATAGGGCAGTGACATCTAGTGGCCTGCCTCTGGAAGAGCCCTCAGGAAGAAAAGGTATCACACAGATACATACACCGTGCCCAGCTAATTTTTTGATTTATTGTAGAGATGAGGTCTCCCCAGGTTTCCCAGGCTGGTCTCAAACCCCTGGGTTCAGGCAGTCCTCTAGCCTTGGCCTCTCAAAGTGCTGGGATTACAGGCGTGAACCACCATGCCTGGCTGATCTCTACACGTCTTTACTCTTTCCCTGAGGCTTCTCTTGCATATGAGTCACCTTAATAACTTTCCAGGTTTTATGGTTTATAGACTTTCTGGCATGTCCAGAATGGAAGTGCCATTGTTTATTATTCTTGGTTTCGCATATTGTGATGAGAACCTAGAATGGGAAAGTTCTGAAGTGCAGTGCTTCAAAGCATTGCCCAAGAAAATCTTCAACAATGGAATACAGTCCAAGAAGTCATCTGCCCCTCTTCCCATATAAAACCATATCAGTTAACCATGTTAATTTGTACTGAATTTTGGTACAAAATTAATTTTTTTAAGTTAAGCAATGAAAACACTGTATAACAAAGTCACTGTTCAAGTCATCAAGTATTCTGGTGCTAGTGCTTGAGATTGTTTATAAATCTAATGGTGACTTATATGTCATATGTACATGATGATGCAAATGTGTTGGAAACCACCACCACAAGTATTGGGACTTATGGTTACAAACTGGCCCTCATCTTTCTAGACTGAAAGAGATTATGATCTCATCTTTTTGTATGAATTCTTCTTTTGCTTGTTTCATCTTGATAGATCATAAAAAATAAGTTATCAGCGAAAATCAAGAGTTCTCAATGTATGTTTTATTATCAGTAAAATTTTATTGTAGCTTTTTATTAATTTCTGCATTTTTATTTCAGTGATTCCATATAGGTCAGTGATCATTCCCATCAAGAAGCTGAGCAATGCAATCATCACATCAAACCCTTGGATTTGTGTATCAGGAGAGCTAGGAGACACTGGAGTAATGCAGATTCCCAAAAACCTCCTCGAAATGACTTTTGAGGTAGGCTCAACTCATACCTTTCCTAGCAGAAAATGTCACATGTCGTTTTACAGTTTTGCTTTTTCATTTTCCCTTGAATTGAATAAAATAGAAAAATACTCAAGCATACAGGATCATTGTTGTGATTATGTGCCTAAAGTTGTCTTAAGCAACTTACACTAATTTGTTTTGTATTTTCATTGTTAAGCTCTGTTTCTTTATGGAGTACTTTGGGTCTTTACCAGCTCCTGTCCCATGATTCCCAGTGCCTAGCACAGAGCCTGGCAAACAGGGAAGCAATCAAATACACATTTTACCCATAGGGGTTCTCCTTCCTACTATAACATTCTCCCTGCCCTAACCTGGCCATCCTTTGACAAAAGGACAGGAAAGCTGATATTCGTGCTTATGGACTTCAGAACACAGGGTGACAATTATTTATTCTATTTTTTAAAAAACTTTCAATATTTTCAGTTTTCAGGTCTTAACTGGTGAAGTATTTCCATGAGTTTAAGCCCACATGCAGGTTGACCCCACCACGTGGGGAAACAAACACCAGCTCGTGTTTCAGGAGGGAAGTGGCTCTGACTGGATGTCCTGTTCTCATGTTCCTTGAGCTCTAGGATTGAGTTTCCACTCAGAGTCATAATGCTCCCCATAACCTATTTGGCCTTATCTGTGCAGTGGACTCACAGCCATCGGTATATTAAACAGTAAAACCCTTGACTTGTCTTCGCCCACAAATAATGGAACAGAAAATACATTACATGTCCCATCACTCTGCTGGGCGTGGTGGCTCATGCCTGTAATCGCAGCACTTTGGGAGACCGAGGCAAGAGGATTGCCTGAGGCCAGGGGTTCAGACCAGCCTGGGAAACATGGCAAGACCTCATCTCTACAGTAAATCAAAAAATTAACCAGGTGTGGTGGCGCGTGCCTGTGGTTCCAGCTATTTGGAAGACTGAGGCAAAAGGATCACCTGAGCCCAGCAGGTCGAGGCTGCAGTGGCAGTGAGTGTGCCACTGCACTCCAACCTGGGTGATAATGAGACTTCAACTCAAAAAAAAACCAAGTCCCATCACTGCTGCTTCCAAGCTCTCTCTCATGCCTACCTGCTTGTTTTTGTCTCTGCTAATAAAAGATGCCTTCTGATCATGGTGATGCCTCCTCACTGAAATACAAAGAGTAAAGTACTTTAAGAACTCACAGCTCTGATGTTCCTATACACCACATAGTTAGTTGGGAATCTGAGATATTTTTATTATCCAAGTTTAAAGTCAGAACTTTTTGGAGGGGCAGAGAGACAGGTAGAGAAAGGGTCTTGCTACGTTTCCCAGGCTGGTCTTGAACTTCTGGTCTCAAGCAATCCTCCTACCTTGGACTCCTAAATTCCTAGGATTATAGGCATGAGCCATCACACCTGGCCCAAAAGTCAGTTTAATTAGCATTCATTTTTCCTATTTGTATTATCATTGCTCTGTTTCGTAGTAGTCCACAGGCCAGCAAGGATAACCTACTGTTATAGCTTTGCCTTTTTACAATAGCTTCAAAGGCTACTAGTAGATGAGGTGTGAAGCCAGGTATGCATTAGTAGTCTTTTAGAAACAGAAAAATATCATGTCAGTGATTTTGTTTTAAACCTATAGTTATTTTTCTGACTTCTCTATAACTGAATCTAAATAGCATCCTTTTCTATTTTTCAAAATTCTTTGAAAAAAAGCACAAATCACTGTCTCAGTGACGTTCCTGGCTTCCCCAAGTAGAAAGAGCTATTCCTTTCCCCAGCGTTCTTCTAGTGGTTATTCACACATCCAATCTGCAGTACACTTCTCTTGGTAATGTCCATATGTCTCCTATCTCATCATGTGGGAGCTCCCTACCAGCAAGGAGGACATTTCTCTAGTGCATTTCTCTAGTGCATAGCTGAGTGCATTCTTCAGGGTGGGTCTCTGCAGCTGTAGGTTAGAAGGAACCAAAGTGCCATCCTGATAGCTGAGAGGTAGCAGGATGGGATCGGGTACTGAATAACCTAAGGTCCTGTCCCCACAGTGCCAGAACTTGGGGAAGCTGACCACGGTTCAGATTGGTCACGATAACTCAGGACTGTTAGCCAAATGGCTAGTGGATTGTGTGATGGTCAGAAATGAAATCACAGGACATACATACAGGTAAGTAAATGACCTTGGGAGCTCAGAATTCTGTTTTGAGACTCTTTACATAAGAAAAGGTTTAAGAATTCTTTTATTTCTAAAGCACTGTCTTCTGAATTTAGTTTAGTTTTTTTGTCTTTGTTTTGTTTTTGCTTATTTAATACAAAATTGCCCCCCAAAAATACTTTTTTAAAAACAGATGAGCCGGGCTCAGTGGCTCAGCCAGTAATCCCGCGACTTTGGGAGGCTGAGGTGAGTGGATTGCCTGAGCCCGTGGGTTTGAGACGCGCCTGGGCAACTTGGCGAGACCTCATCTCTACAATAAATCAAAAATTAGCTGGGCATGGTAGCACATGCCTGTAGTTCCAGCTACTTGGAAGGCTGAGGCGGGAGGATCGCCAGAGCCCAGCGGGTCAAAGCTGCGGTGGCCGGGAGCAGCCACTGCACTCCAGTCTGGGCGACAGAGTGAGACTCCAATTCAAAATAAATAAATAAATAAAAATAAAAACAGATGACATTTGCTGCTAATGCTTAATCCATGCGTGTTGAAAATATGGGTGTAACTCTGGAAAAAAGAAAGGAAATGGAACCCTTACATAATTTTCTCCAAGTGACAGCCAGCACTACTCTATGGGAACTTCTCTTCTGGGGCCTCACTCCCATATGAATTGTAATTTGAAAATATTTTTCCCGGCTGGGCGCGGTGGCTCCCGCCTGTAATCCTAGCTCTTTGGGAGGCCGAGGTGAGAGGATTACCTGTGCCCACGGATTAGAGACCAGCCTGGGCAACTTGGTGAGACCTCATCTCTACAATAAATCAAAAAATTAGCCAGGTATGGTGGCACATGCCTGTAGTTCCAGCTACTTGGAAGGCTGAGGCAGAAGGTTCACCTGAACCCAGCAGGTCGAGGCTATGGTGGCCATGAGCGTGCCACTGCACTCGGCCTGGGTGACAGAGTGAGACTCCAGCTCAAAAAAAAAAAAAAAAAAACCCCGGGCTCAGTGGCTCAACCTGTAATCCCGTGCTTTGGGAGGCTGAGGTGAGTGGATTGCCGGAGCCCACGGGTTCAAGACCCTCCTGGGCTACTTGGAGGCTCTACAATAAATCTCTACAATAAATCAAAAATTAGCCAGGCTTGGTAGCGCGCGCCTGTAGTTCCAGCTACTTGGAAGGCTGAGGCAGAAGGATCGCCAGAGCCCAGCAGGTTGAGGCTGTGGTGACCGGGAGTGGCCACTGCACTTCAGTCTGGGCAACAGAGTGAGACTCCAACTCAAAAAATATTTTTTTTTCCCCCCAAAACTAACCAGAAAATCATATTATAAGCCGGGCTCGGTGTCTCAGCCTGTAATCCCGCGCCTTTGGGAGGCTGAGGTGAGTGGATTGCCTGAGCCCGCGGGTTCGAGACCCACCTGGGCAGGCGAGACCTCATCTCTACAATAAATCAAAAAATCAGCCAGGCGTGGTAGCGCACGCCTATAATTCTGGCTACTTGGAAGACTGAGGCGGAAGGATCACCGGAGCCCAGCAGGTTGAGGCTGTGGTGACCGGGAGCGGCCACTGCACTCCAATCTGGGCGACAGAGTGAGACTCCAACTCAAAAAAAAAAAAATTATATTATAGATTAGATATAAGAAAATATGAAATAATTATTTGGGGCTGCAATGACAATAACAATTTGTGGCTATGTAGGAGAATGTCCATATAGTTTAGAGATTTATACTGACGTGTTTTTAGGGAGGAAGTATCCTGATACCATAATTTACTTTAAAATACTTCAGCAAAAAATAAAGATGAAGCACATAGCAGAGTGTTTAATGTAGGTGATAAGTTTATGAGTGTTTAATATACTGTCTTCTACTCGTCTGTATTTTTGAAATTTTTCCTAATTAAACAACCCACAGGCATTAAAATGATGGGCTCCCCAGGGCCATTTTTAAAACTCTGATTAGGAAAAAAAAAAAAAAAAAAAAGGATGATTCGGGGGCTTTTTTCTGTCCTACCAGATTCCCATGTGGGCGGTGGCTGGGGAGAGGCATTGATGATGGGAGCCTGGAGAGAATTCTCATTGGAGAGTTGATGGCGTCAGCCTCAGATGAAGACCTGGTGAAGCAGTGTCGGACCCCACCCCAGCAGAAGTCACCTACCACAGCCAGGAGACTGAGCATCACTTCACTGACAGGAAAAACTACCAGTAAGTCATTGGCTAAATTTTCCAATGTGCCTCCAGTGTTGCAGGCTTCATGTGACCATTTCATAGAAAATGGTTGCATTCATGAATTGTGGTAAGGAGATTCTAAAAGAAGTTAAGGAAAATTAATTAATTTGGGAGAAGAGACTTTTAAGGAGGTCAGGGAGTAAAAAGGAAAAAATAAAGGCAAGATATTAACAAATATTCGAATGCCTGAAGAATTTATATGTTAAACTCTAATTTTTTTAAAAACCTGCATGCTGTGTTTTAATTAAGCTGAGTAAATATGTGGAAATATTTTGCCTGAAACTTAAAGGAGGAATAAGAATAGGTAATATATATGGCTGGGCTCAGCGGCTCAGCCTGTAATCCCAGCACTTTGGGAGGCCAAGGTGAGTGGATTGCCTGAGCCCGTGG